TTTTAACTCTACACTTATGTTAAAATTCATACATTTTAGTTATATTTTTCATAATTAGATATTCTTTTTGACAAATAATTCTCCTATTGTAATACATAAAACAGTACAACGCTAGGACTTCAAGCATGAATTAAAATAAACTGTTCATACTATTTCAAGAATAAAATATTTAATTAAATTTATGTGCTTTAGGCCTTCTGTATATTAATTAGGATGGGGCAACAAATAATAGTTTCAGTTTAAATAACTTATTTTTTAACTATCAGATTTAAATAACATATACGTTACGAATTTATGCTGGATTTTTCTTAGGTTACATGCCCTCTCTGCAAACTGCCATGAAAAAATGCACTGTGGATATTAAGCTATGGGTTACAGACAACAATCATCTCGACGGAACAACAAGTAGTCGACATCGTTAAAACATGAGCATTGAGCAGACTTCTATGTATAATCCAAATAGACAAACACAGTGTTATTTGTTACTCGCTGGTTAAAACAAACAACTACATATTGCAGTTGCAACGTTAGGTTTTGTTACTTGTGGTGCGAATTTGGTCTATTAGGTAAGAGAAGCTTTTCAAAGTTTGCATAAATACTATACGGACCATTTCAATAGTATTTGGACCTATTAGGGACAAAGTCCCACATCGGTTGCTGGAAGGGATTCTATCTAGTATATAAGATAGATTGGTCAATCTACTTATAACCAATTGATTTTAGGTTGGAAGTCCATCTAACTTGATATGGTATCAGAGCCCACGATCCACGCTGTCCAACCCGATCCTTATCGATACAGCCTAAAGTCGGCCCATCGATCCTTGCCCGAACATTCCGAGATTGATGCCAAAAGAACCATCATCTCGAGGGGGCGTATTAGGGACAAGGTCCCACATCGGTTGCTGAAAGGGATTTTATCTAGTATGTAAGATAGATGGGTCAATCCACTTATCACCAATTGGTTTTAGGTTGGAAGCCCATCTAACTTGATAGGACCCACATATTCACAGGACCGATCATACAAAAGCCCGAACAACTAAATGTATACGACCATTTTTCACCTAGTCACACAGATTCGTATAGACTCTACACTTGAGAAGTTTCGTTTAGAAAGACATGTGTTTGTTCTTTTTTTTTTCTTTTTTTTGACATCAAACGGATGTGTTTGTTCATGAGTTGATTTTTGTAATGTAAATATCTTTCATTTTGTTTTTTCATTATATGTAATTTATGTTGATTCGGTCTAACCCGGTAAGAACATACTTTATGCTACATAGTAAAAAAATTTCGAAGGGTTACTAGTACATTATTTGACCCGGAGTTTGAAATAACTTCCAGCTAATACAAGGGAGTAGCCGGATGCTTGTTACCGGACTATCAAGTAAACCGTCTGGACCAAAACCCAACCGAGACTTCCCATATAATATATTTATGCTTAGTAAGATAAACATTTAGGAATCATTGAAGAACCTTTTTTAATGGAATATCATCAGTTATCGTGATTATCTGAGTGAAAATTTATTGCATGACATGTGTCTTTGGGAAGATAATGTTATCTTAAGTAAGCATTCTACATCCATACATAATTACATGTCAAATAACGCTATATTTCTGTCTTATGTCCACTTTTCTTAATTACGAAATGTTAGTTGTATTCTTCCTCCACGGTAGGCCTGTTCAATCTGGTGTTCGTCCGGTTTCGGTTCGATTATTTTCGGTTTTCGATTATTCGGTTTATAAAAATTAGTTACCATATTGGAACCATATTTAATTTGGTTTGGTTCGGTATTTATACTACCGTTTTTGGTTTATTCGGTTTCATATTATATGAATTTCTTTTAAAAACATATTGTCAAAACTATCATTTATTAAAATAATCCTAGGTGTTCATAAATATAAAAATGTGAAATTAACAACAAACAAAACGATCAACGATTCAGTTTTGTATAGTTTTTCTTATTTTCTCTTTGTTCTTCCAAATAAATTACATGGTACAATCTAATTTCACAATTTCTTACAACATGTAAAATCAAATCAAATTTAGATAATAGTTGAAGAAAATAAAATAAAATTATTAAGATATATCTTCACAAGGTATAAAAAATAAAAATAAAAATACTATTCCAAGAAAATAAATGGTTATATAATGTATATATTTATATATTTTTTCTTTGATCGGTTTTGTTCGGTTTATTCGGTTCAATCGGTTATAAACCTAACCATATCCAAATCCTACGGTTTTTATAAAATCATATCCATTCGGTTTATATGGTATATACCAAATCCAAACCATATTGTCTATTTCGATTCGGTTCGGTTCGGTACGGTTCGGTATCACCATATTGAATAGCCCTACTCCACGGCCTTAAGAAAATAATACTCTTTATGATTTGATAACTAAAATTAAAATTCGATAAACTTTAAAACACAATATGGTATAGGATACAATATTGTCTGATAATGAAAATAAGATAACTGATTTAAAGGCAAAAACCTTAAATCATTACAATACGAAAATTCAGAAATGCAAACGGAAACACTTCAGTCCAAACCAAGCCTTGTTGGCCAACGCTTATTGTTGATGCTATGACCAGAAAGATCGGGGGCAGCGTTGGTGCTGGTGGTGGTAGTAGTGGTGGAAGGTATCTGACTGGTGATTGGTAGCTGGTGGTAGCTGTTGTTGTTGTCATCCATGGAAGCAACGCTTGGAAGATATTGAACACCACTCATTTGCTGAAGTTGTCCCATCAACAGACTCGTAAACGATTGGTTTGGATTTGGATACTGATTCATACCCTGATCATGACTCAAACATGTAGTCATATCCTGGCTCGAACCATAGAATCTAGGCTGATTCATACCCTGGCCATGAGTCAAACCTGTATTCATATCCTGGCTCGAACCATAGAACCTAGGCTGATTCATACCATGATCATCACTCAAACATGTATTCATATCCTGGCTCGAACCATAGAACCTAGGCTGATTCATACCCTGATCATCACTCAAACATGTATTCATATCCTGGCTCGAACCATAGAACCTAGGCTGATTCATACCCTGATCATCACTCAAACATGTATTCATCTCCTGGCTCGAACCATAGAACCTAGGCTGATTCATACCCTGATCATCACTCAAACATGTATTCATATCCTGGCTCGAACCATAGAACGTAGGCTGATTCATACCCTGATCATGAGTCAAACCTGTATTCACATCCTGGCTCGAACCATAGAACCTAGGCTGATTCTGATCATAAAAGGTAGGAGTTTGGTATTGAAATGGAACTTGACGATTCATATTCACACCCTGGTTCGAACCATAAAATCTAGGCTGAGTCTGATCATAAAAGGTAGGAGTTTGGTGTGGAAATGGAACTTGACGATTCATATTCACACCCTGGTTCGAACCATAAAACCTAGGCTGAGTCTGATCATAAAAGGTAGGAGTTTGGTATTGAAATGGAACTTGACGATTCATATTCACACCCTGGTTCGAACCATAAAACCTAGGCTGAGTCTGATCATACAAATTTAAATTACTAGGAGTTTGGTATTGAAATTGCTCGTGATGATTCATATTCTGGTTATGAACATGATCATTAGAACCTCCAGCCTGCTCATTCACACTCATATCCATATCATCATATTGAGGCATATGATCATAAACTTCAGTAGGGTTACTTACCGAACCCTCGGTTCCGACAACAACCTGGTTCACATCACCAACAACAGGACCAGATGCATCTGTAGCATCGGCATTAAGAGGAACTGACTCACCATTCGCCATGAGGATCTCCTTCCTGTGAGTTAGTTTCTTGTGATAATCATCAAGCAATTGCTGAAATTCTCTAATAAAATTTGCATCATGATAGTGATGCTGCGGAATCTTCTCCCCCTTGAGAAAGTTGAACATGATCTCTGTAAGCTCCATCTCTCGATTCTCAGCACGTACCTTCATCCGTTTCTCTTCTGCTTTAATGATCCTCTCCCACGTGTAACTTTCTTGGTCGTACATCCTATGGAACCGTTTCGTCTCCTCCAAGTTCATAAAGTCTGAGAACACTGCTTCAACCCCTTCCCTTGACGGCCAAAAATCCGGCTCCGTGCTGTCACGGCTTTGGATAACCGCACAAACTTTGACACCGCAGAGAGTCGCCAGCTCATTGGCTTTTTTCATAAAGCCTCTCGTCCTCTTCTTGTAAGTCTGAGTCCTTACTGACTTATCAGTCAGGAGCTCTAATTTTGTCTTTCCCCTTCTCATTGTTATGGGAGTGAATGAGAGAGATACATTGGCAGTTGATAGTGGTCTTGTTTATATAATGTAATGAGAGGCTGGGATTACGTATGCATGTCTTATCACTTTCTTTAGTATTAAGTATGCAATACAGTGTAATGAAAGGCTGGTATTAAGGCTAATTTCAGATACTGTAGATTTGTTTCCTTTGTGGAAATTAAACCAACCAATAAGAAAGCGGTAAATTTCAATGCAAATTTAGAAGAAGATATTGCCAGCTAATGTTGCATAGGTAGTATGATAATTACAAAGATATCCAATAGGAAATTTTTAATATTCTAATAATACTACTACTAAACATACTTTTTCTGCAAAAAAAAAGCTTATTATATTAATGAAACAAAAAATATAAGTTTGAGACTCATAGTTTGTTTAATCCAAGAAAAACTGAATCTTGATAAGAAACTAGAATTAGTTAACTATATTTTTTGGGTTTAGGAAATCGCAAGAAACTTTGAAGAATTTAGAGAAAAAAAAGGTCTATAGAAAAGTAGATTAAATATGTTCTTTCAGGGATTTTTGATACGTAAATCTAACTATTATTTGCGAAGTGATTTTTCGCAACGGAACTCTCACGTTAAAAGTTGGAGTGGTTAATATCGTTTATACGCTTAATGAATAAAATATATAAATCAGCTAAAAATAAAAACGAATTTAATACATATTTGATTAGATAAATGATTTAAATTAATAATAATGATAAGAATTATCCATAATCTAAATATATATTTAAAAGAAAAAGATAATTCCTATATATATTGTGTTGTTATCCGGAAAATATATTTTTAATAAAAAAATTCAAAAAAAAAACAGATAAATAATTATTCAAAAATAAAAATTTTAATTGTATATAATTCAAAAGAGAAAATTAAAACTTGGAGTAGTTAATATCGATTATATCCTTAATCAACAAAATATATAAATCAGCCAAAAATAAAAACGAATTGGATAATTATTTAATTAGATAAATGATTTAAATTAATAATAATGATAATAATTATCCATAATCTAAATATATATTTAAAAGAAAAATTTAATTTCTATATATACTGTGTTGTTTTCCGGAAAATATATTTTTAATAAAAAAATTCAAAAACAAAAAACACATAAATAATTATTCATAAAATAAAAATTTTAATTGTATATAATAATATAATATAATATAATGATATATATATATATATATATATATATATATATTTGTGAAGTTATTTTTCTCCTCTGAACTCACATGTTAAATTAAATTTATACTAGGTGTTTTGCCTGCACATGCGTGTTTAATTATCTTTAAATCTATTTAAAAATCATCAAAATAAATGATATTTGCATCCAAAAAATTTAACCTAAAACATTAATTTTTTTTACATGATAAATTTATTCACAAATTAAAAAAAATATACTTCTTCCTTTTAAAATTTAAAAAATCTAAAGTCTATTTCCTTTCTTCTTAATTAATAAAAATATAGAAATCTATCTTTCAATTTAAAAAATTGAATCGATAATTATACATTCAAAAATTGATCTTACAAAAAGAATAATATTAGTTTAGATAATAATACAATTAAAATTTATTTTTGCCAAACACGTTTTTTTTTGTTTTTGAATGATTTTTTATTTTATTATGATAAATTCATGTTTAAGGATTACTTATATATAAAAATATAAAAATAAATTTAATTTAACGTGTGAGTCCAGAGGCGAAAATAACTTCACAAATATATATATCATTATATTATATTATTATATTCTTTTAATTTGAAAATAATTACGTATTATAATTTGTTTAAATTTTTATTTTCAATTATATAAAATTAAAGTTTTTACTTAATTAATATTTATTTATGTGTTTTATGTTTTTGAAATTTTTTTATTAAATATATTTTCCGGATAACAACACAATATATATAGGAATTATCTTTTTATTTTTAAATATATATTTAGATTATGGATAATTCTTATCATTATTATTAATTTAAATTATTTATCTAATCAAATAAATATTAAATTCGTTTTTATTATTGGTTGATTTATATATTTATTCATTAAGGGTAATATCGATATTAACCGCTCTAACTTTTAACGTGAGAGCTCCGTTGCGAAAAATCACTTCGCAAATAATAGTATAGATTTATATTTTATATAGTTAAACCTTAAACATGAATTAATCATATAAAATAAAAGATCATTAAAAAGAGAGAAAATACATGTTTGATAAAAATAAATTCAAATATATTGTATTATTATCCAAACTAATGTTATGTTTTTGTAAGATCAATTTTTTAATGTATATCTATCGATTCAATTTTTCAAATGGAAAGATAGATTTCTATATTTTTTTATCTATTAAGAAGAAATGAAATAGACTTTAGATTTTTCAAAGATTTAAAGGAAAAAAATAGTTTTCTTTTTAATTTGTGAATAAATGTATCATGTAGAAAAGTTTAATATTTTAGGTCAAATTTTTTGGATGCAAATAATCATTTATTTTGATAATTTTAAAAATTTATTTAAAGATAATTAAGCCCGCATGTGCGGGTAAAACACCTAGTTCTTCAGTATATTCAATAGCATAAATTCAGGACAACTAGCTTTGAGTTGGAATTATTATGGCTTAATGCTATTTGATATCAATTGTTAAGTATCCATGACAAGAAAAAAAATATATTCAAAGCTTGATTATGATTTACTAAGCCCAACATGCATAATCTAAAGGCTTATGAAGTTTCATAAAAACTTTCTTTTTCTTGGGGTGAAAAAACAATTTGGGCTGATGGATCCTATACATTTATTTACGAAATCTGCAGGCCTTATCTTAAATTGAACATTAAATGTGTGAATTCATTAAAGTTAATGAATTGAAATTAAAGAAAAGTATCAAATAAGGAGCTGATACGCGTCACATTTACATAATAATTATTATATTGGAGGATAATTAAAGGAAAGAAAAAGAGAGATTACAATGGAGAAAGGAGAATCTGATCCCTCAAACTGAGACATAGAATTACAGAAAGAAAACATAAAAGTGACTGATGGGAATGTTTAAGAAAGTGAGGATGCAAAAAAGATGTAAAAGTGTGGCTAATCAAGGATTGAATATTATTTCAACTTACAATGAAACTTCTATTGATTAATAATATTGGAAATACACTAAAACTATAATTTAATTAATTTATAAAAAAAATATTAATTTATCAATATATTAATTGAATAAAAAATTCAATTTAGTACTATAAAATTATATTATTTTATAAAAAAATTTAATATATACTCCCTCCGTTCCATAATATAAGATGTTCTAGAGAAAATTGATGTTTCAAAATATAAGATGTTTTGATATTTTTAAGGTACTTTAACTTTATAGAAAACCGGTTGACCAATAATATTTTAGTTTATTATTTATGATTGGTTCATTTATTTTAAATTTATACTATCAATGATGTTATCTTTTGAAAATTTAAGTTTCTTAATTCTTGTGCTTTGGATAAAACATCCTATATTATGGAACGGAGGGAGTATTAATTTATAGAGTATTAATTTAAAGAGGTTATACTGTATATTATTTCACCTTCTCCCTTTTAAATAATTACCAACACACATTGTAGTTATACATTTGGCTCATTTAACCAGACAACCTTTTGTAGATGCTATCTTTAACACACTTACAGATTTTCTAAGAGCAATTCATGTTTAGGAAGACGGACTAGCAACACAGTAAGTCAAAGAAGTAATAAACTTGAGTAGAATGAAAAATTATAAATTAGAAAAAGCGTTATAAATTAGTCAAAGAAGTAATAAACTTGGATTATTGTTTATTTTATAATCCAGTTCTTTTTTCCTTTAAAAAAAATCTCGATTAGAAAATAAACAATAAAAGAACAAATATCTTGAAAATGAGTTAGGGTCCTACTGAATGTAATTATGTATGATTAGGATCATGGGTCATACTTTTCAACTAGACAAAAACACTTTTTATTATTACTTCTTTTATCTTTTGAAAATTCATGTCATCTCCTTCAAAAATCTTTCTAACTTTTCAATTTTAATTGTTGCCGTTAATTTAAACTCAACGGTGGTCTTTAAATTTTCTAATGCCTTTGCTTTATATACACCACTACAGAGACATCAAGATCTCCCCGAATCAGTTAGAGCAATATTATTGATAGGGTTCTTAATTGATACTTAAATTTGTTTTCTTATCCAATTTAAAAAAAAAAAAATTGAAAACGAATTAATCACGTATGCTACGTGTTAGTGGAACCCGTAAACGGGACCAAAACCAAACCAAAACGCCTCTTAATTTAGCTATTTCTTTCCTCGATTTTGATATTTTTGTGGGTCTCTTTTTCTCCTCTCTTCTTAAGAACTTAGTAATAATGTTGCTCTTAGAAAACTAATAAAAGAAATTTATGCAATTCAAACTTGAATCTAATATATGTAATTCAAATCTTTCACTTATAACGTTGTAAATTTGAAAATGATTTTGTTGATCGCATTTGTGGGGGTTAAAAAAATAATAAATCATCTATATTTTAAGAACATTATTTAAGACTTCAATAACATTTCGTTACAACTATTTCACTAGAATGGTTAAACTAAAAATCACTTTAAGGATTCCGTTTAAGTGGACCCAATTTTCCAAAAGCTACGAGAATTACCTCTTTTGTGCGGAAATCAAGTAAAGGCGAATACCTTTTTCTTATAAATATTGAGATAATAAACACTAACTGGTGGTTTTCCAATATACGGAAATATAGTTCTTGTTTTTTTTACTTTAGAGGGGAATATAGTTAATAATTATTACTCCCTCTGTTTCATTATAAGTGTCACTCTACAGTTGTGCACACGGATTAAGGAAACAATTAATTTTACATATTTCTTATATAAAAACACAGTTACCTATACATCTAACCATATTTTAACCAATAGAAAAACTAATTACATAATAAAATTAATAAATTTTGCATTGAAAACCGAAAACAACACTTATTTTGTAACGCAAAAAAATTTCTACAACGACACTTAATATGAAACGGAGGGAGTATAACCTCCGTGATTTAAAAAAAAATGATAACTGACCATCTTGGTGATATATAAACCTAGTATAGTCCTAGTTTTCTTTATATACCCTATCAATTAAACACATTTAATGTTATAAAGTGGATTCCACATTGTCTGAGCCTTAGATAGGCTTTTTTTTTTCTTTTTAGATACAACTGGTCCATTTATATTGCTGTTCATAAACAAGTCTGGAATTTGGGGGTAAACTAATCTCCACGAATAAATAATTAGCTTCTGATTATACAGTTTTAGAAGTGGTCTAAACCACAAAATGACCAGTTTATATAAGAAAACAACAAGGATGATAACACACACAAGGGTCTGCAGAGACCATCTCCAAAAGACTTCAATCCTTGGACGTTATAACAAGTAAACCCAATGCACCTATAAGAATATACTTATTATATAGTCACCCATCCAACGTAAGGCAAGAACCCGACAGCACGACCCATTATATGATGTCGATGAGCCTAGAGATAGTTGTATGATCATGGATCATGTTTGATGATATATAGATATATAACTTTACTCACAACTTGTTTATGGACCTGAACTTCATCTCATATTAGTAGGTTTGTATGTCAGTATTCCAGTAAAAGGTATTGAATAGTATGCAATTCAACTACGATATTAATTCGTGCGTTGCTTCCAGTTTTCGTAGATTAATATCTATGTTTGCATAAGCATGATTTGTCAACCAGCCATACAGTCTGCCTACAAGTTTATGCTAGGAACTTTTTCGTAAAAAGTATATGCATTTGTAGATGTTTTAGGCAGCTATATATTGATAACTAACTTTTATAGTGATAGTCATAATAGTAGCAAGTAGAGTTATTAAAAAAATTTCCTACATATATATAACATGCAAAACATACAGACGAATGCTGCAGATCAATAATTATACCAAGGAGATGAAACAATTTTAGTATTCATGAAACAAAAAAAGTAGTGTCGCACACTTTGTAAATGGATGGAACTGGACACGAGAGTGATGTTTTAACAATCTCTTTCTTCACCATTTTCGTATAGTATTGCAGCTTTTGTACTCAGAACGTGGAAGTATATATTCGTGTGACCAAATCATGATTTTTCTGTTTTTGTCCCACTCTTGCAATCATCATTCTACTACAAAATGATGCTCTCTCACTTTTATTTCAGCTTCTTTGATTCGTCTCCATTTTTCTCCCACCAATGGCTTTTTCTTACTATTTGTGAGTTTTTGAAAACAAGTAACTAATGAGTCATTATTGACATGTTGGTTTTGAATGTTAACATTTATCTAAATATTTTGTTTTGACATTGCATCCACGATCTTTTTTTCTTGCCACCATCCAACACTAAACTCCTCATTTCTAATAAGTTCATATATTCATATACCTTATTATTTGTATATTCTGATCCATTTTTTCTCCTGATGTTGTTGTTTGAAATGTTTTTTTAATGAGAATATAACATTATAATTGTATGTGCAATTAATTATAACCAGAAAGCACAACATTTTAGTCTGCATAAGTTATATTGTAGGACGAATAATATATCACTAGTTATGTCAGCATATATTATTTAAATGAACAACAATTAAACTTCATTTTAACATTGGTTGTTCTATTCCGATCTGATTATTCATATCATCTCAAATTTGAATAACATAATAGCCGTTGGATGTAAAAAGAAAATTAACTTGTTTGTAGGATCACCGAAATACTAAAGAAACTAAAGTGATAATTTTAAGTTAAAGAACATATAAACAGGCCCGGTCCGGGGCATAGGCAAAGAAACCGACCGCTTAGAACATCCCGATTTTGTACAACAATTTTATATATATATAGGACACTATAACATTTTTTTTTATGAAGAACAAGAACATAAATTTATAGTTTAGAGTAAGACATTACAAGTTTTTTTTTTAAGTTGGACCGGCCCTGCATATAAATGATTAACATTGAGTTAGCCTAGTGGTTAAGTTCTTGCCGATAATATAGAAACTCTAAAGGTTACAAATTCGATTGGGAGGGATCTACTCTTCAAACAAAAATTATATCATATGATTTGTCTTCTCCTTGAGTGGTTACGTACGTGTTTCTGCCCAGTCATTTAAAAAAAATATAGGACAAAAGTATATCGTTATGCTATGATTAGAATTGTGGTAAACTATGCGATTTCTTCTCCTGCTAATGATATTCTTCAATAATGCTGATTATAATTTCTTAAGACTCGACTTAAGCTAGTAGCTTTATATAAAAATATGACAGTTTTAAACTAATCATGATATTATTTAGAAAACAGTCCCCTTTCCAATAATACGATAACAATGAGAATGCTATAACAATGAGAACGCACTCGCTATGATAATATAAGTTTCTAAACACTTATTAATTGTTGTTCTCGTGAAACTTGCTCAAAATAATCAAACTTATGTTTGTTTTTACATTTAGTTTGTTAATTTTTCGTTACACGTTATACCAACACCATCAATTTAAGATCGAGGAGAGCTTACAAGTTACTTCGACAGCTACTAAACTAATATTGTCTATGTAAATTAGACTATTAGTGGTTACACGAACAAATTATTGCATAGTGTAAACATTTGTGGCTAGTTTTCCACCGTCACTTTGCGTACCTAAGTTGAACAACTTACGTTCTCTGGATATCAAAGGTATCTCTTTTGATATCAAATTCCGGGAAAATATAAAATTTTGAAAAGTACCAAAAGTATTAATTTCCTTGTCAAACAAATAATACATTAACATTTCGTATTTTTGGGGGACAAATAATTATAAATTCGTACAATGCTTCCATTGAAATGAGTCTATATTTAATTGTTGAGCGATGGCTTCCCTTTACTTTATTTCCCTTTTCTTTTTCGCTAACTGGGAAATTCTGAATTTTGGGTCATAGTATATTGTATCCCTGAACAATAATACTCATCATTTGTTAACATTAAAATTGACAATCATCTAATCAATTGGACAGATTAATTTCTCTCTTTTGAAACAAGGGTTTTGCATTCGTTTAATTTTAACCATTAAATTTTATATTATCTTCATTAGACGATAAGTTTTATTTTTCTCAAAATTAAAAATTTTGTACATTTAATATAACTCGTGTTTTACTTTTACCCATATAAGTATATAACTTTAGGTTACTAAGTGGGGAAATAAATTTATAAGTATTTAATGGAAGGTAGGGAAAAATAAATATGTGTGTATATGTGGGTGGAAAATTTTAAATCCACAATGTAATAATGTTTATAAATTCAGAAAAGATAATTTTAGTTTCTTCTTTTTAATTTAATCGTAGTTTTATAAATAAATTCTTAATATTTATTTTTGCAGCCAATGTCTGTCTTTATTATTTATCTATCTATTGAGAAAAAATAATTAAAGATTACTATTTTTATCTCAAAAATATTAACCTCTGTAACTCTTTCTATTTTTGTAAATGAAACAAATAGTTTTCTACTAGGTTTTTAGTCCCCCTCTTGATTTGTTTTCTTCTATATATGGTGGCCCATAAAAGGTGTCAATTAATTCAACCAACGATTAGAAAAAAAGTATCACACCAGAAATCGCCAATCACATTTCCTCTCATTTTATAATAATTTCTCCATCTTCTCCCTTCCTCTTCTACCTTATAGAACCTTCACATGTCATAAAACTCTCCATCTCTCTACAGCAATCTATAGTAATATATTGCTTCTTGTTTCTTCACTACTCTTACGAATCAATTGCTTCGTATCAATATTACATATAAAATGGGAAGACATTCTTGTTGTTATAAGCAAAAGCTTAGAAAAGGACTTTGGTCTCCTGAAGAAGATGAGAAACTTCTCAATTACATAACTACACATGGTCATGGCTGTTGGAGTTCCGTCCCTAAACTCGCAGGTTTTGTTTCATCATGTGCTCTTACATTTAAAAAGTTAAATATATGTATTATAATATTTGTATATATATATGGTTGGTATGATCATATAGGTCTACAGAGATGTGGAAAGAGTTGTAGACTTAGGTGGATAAACTACTTGAGACCAGACTTAAAGAGGGGAGCATTCTCTCAAGATGAAGAAAGCTTGATCATTGAGCTCCATGCTACTTTGGGGAACAGGTTAATTTAAAAAAAAAATTAGCAACATATTTATATAGAGTTTCTGAATACATATATATAATAATGTAAAATTTTGAAATATTTTTCATTCTTTGGATTGTGTGTAGATGGTCTCAGATTGCAACTCGGTTACCAGGAAGAACAGACAACGAGATCAAAAACTTTTGGAACTCATGTCTTAAGAAGAAGCTGAGAGTAAAAGGCATTGACCCAACAACACATAAGCCCTTCATAAACGACCTTCAAACTCTTAACGTCATAGATCAGAAGTTGCCGTCATCAAAAACTTCAGAAGTAGTTAAGTCAATGGGTTTGATAAAGGACGCACATGATCAGTCAATGGTCGTCTCATCACAACCAGATCCTTGGTGGTTCCCGGAGACAACTACTACTACGGCTAATCAAAACGCTGCGTTTTGCTTCAGTTCAAGTACTATGCCAACGGTTTCAGACCAGATGACTTCAAACTTCAACTACTTCAGGAATACAGTTCCATCTCAGAGCAACAGTATTTACAGTGCTTTCTTTGGTAATCATTACAGAGAAGCCAGCCAACTCTTGAATAATAATAAAATTAATAATAATAATAATAATAATAATAATAATAATAATAATAATAATAATAATAATAATAATAATAATAATAATAATAATCATTATTATCATCAAGACATGAAGGCATGGGCATCAGAGATTCTTCATTACACAGAACATAACCAAAGCTCGGAAACTGGTTTAGAAGCAGAAGTGAAGCCAGACATTGCCAAGTACTACTTG